AAGAAAGAGGCAAAAATTATCTTTGATATTATAAGGCAAGCACATAAGAAAAAAGAGTGAAATCGCCAACATGCATTGCATATGTATGATAAGTTTAGAACAAATAAATTCACAATAAATACCTTATGTGTGTGTCGACATGATGTATTATAGATTAGGCAATGCGAATGGAATCGAAATTGATCGTCTCTGTAAGAAGCTAAGATATAAAATACGACAAATAAATGTTGGTCAGACAAAGAGACAATTGAGCACGAGACTACACGAACATATCTCTGACATTAAAAAGAATACAGATTTTCCTACTGTCATAACTGATCATCGAATCAATTTTGATCATAATTTCAAATGGAACGATGTGAGAATTTTGGATTGCGAATCTTCTTACAATAAGAGATTGGTATCTGAAATGATTCATATTAAAAGACAGAAACAAGGCCTTAATAGACAAAATGATACCGAATCTTTACCATAATACATCATTTCGACACACACATAAGGTATTTATTGTGAATTTATTTGTTCTAAACTTATCATACATATGCAATGCATGTTGGCGATTTTACTCTTTTTTCTTATGTGCTTGTCTTATAATATCAAAGATAATTTTTGCCTCTTTCTTTAAATTTGACTTATTATTTACCACTTATTTGTACTTTCCTTTTTACTGTTTGCGACTCGATTCGTACTTTTCTTATTGTTCTTATTATTTTTATTTTTATTTACTTCTACCGTTAATTTATTATTACAATTTATACTTGCTAACAGAAACATGTTCGTCCTTATACACACATACGGTTCGGAGGAGCACATTTTTGTCAACTATAATCGTTTATTTGATTTCCTCTCAATTTGGAGCGAGTTTTATAGTTAATTTGCGTCCGAATGCGAATTTTACTTGATCTCTTATGTTTTTTATCTACGTTATAACTCTATTGTTAATTTACTTTGTCACACTAATTTATTTGTCACATTGAAAATGATCCAACTAGGATCGAAACGTTTGTTCACCTTCTGATTGTCAAATTATATTTTACGTTTTTAATTTATGACAGTTTTATTTCAAAAAAACTTTTTTAACTACTCATACTGTTTGTCAATTTATGTTTTAGGCTCGTAGCCCTTTTTATTTTTACTTATTTATATTAAGTTTATTACATTTTTTTTTATTTTCATACAGTATATATGTATTACTATTATGCTATATGTATTATCTTAATTTATACTTCGTGTATGTTTTTTAATATTATTCCATATTATAATATAATATTTTCATACAGTGTACATGTTACTATTATCATTACAATTTACACGTAATGCATATTTTTTACATTTATATAAGTATTACTATTATGTTTTATGAAGTATTTATTATGTATTACTATTATTTTCATTTCATGTATCGTACATTTATATACGTATTTTATATCTATACTGCAAAAAGAAGATGAATGAGAAGTAATAAAAAATATACGTTTATATACTTGTATTGATATATTTTTTATATGCAGAAATAAAATATATGAATCAAAATTTAACAAATAACATTGTTTTTGTGTATCCATGAATTGTGCGATCCATCAAATTCCAACCACTTGACGTACAGCTTGTTTCCCTTCCTGCGCAGTACTTTCTCCACGAGATATACGTCCGGATGAGTAGCGCGATGCAACTTGTACTCGAAGAACGTTCCAGCGACGTATTTTCCGCGATAATCCTCGAGTAAATAAGTTATTGAATTAATACGCTGCACCTTAACGATAGTAAACACCTCGATGGTCCAATTTGGCGTGTAACGCTTCTCAAAAATCGTCTTGTACTTGCTCACCTGTACCAAATCGCCTACTTTGAATTTTGTAGGGCCCGCGATCTTTATCGCGCTGTACACCGTGTCCAAGAGTCTTTCAGCTATCGCGGGAGTTACTTCGGCGGGTCGCATGCCGATGGGGTGATGCTTGTGCGCATTTTAATCTGACACGAGACGCGGCAGCTGGTCGACCCACTTGTAATTACCGTTGAGCGTAAACATCTTTCACATGTCGTTCTTGAGCGTGCGATTGAACCATTCGATCACTGACGCTTTCAACGTCGAATACGTGGAATAGTGAATAACATCGTGCTTTTTCAAGATTTTCTGCACATCAGCGTTGTAAAACTATTTCCCCATATCCGTTTGTGAATTTTTCGGACATCTCTCTCGAACGATCTCAGCGATAGAGTTAGCCGTCTCGCTTCCACTCTTGCTTTGGTACGGTCCACGCGTATTTGCTCAACATATCGATGACGATGAGTATGTATTGGTGGCCTCTGTTGAAGCCCGAGTACAGGCGCATTTCTACGACATCAGCCTGCCACAGATCGTATTCCCGGACTATGACGCTTTCGCGGAAAATTTTTTCTCACAGGAGTGTACAATTCTTCGACGAGTCGCCATCTCTCGGAGCTAATTTTCTCTCTCTTTTTCTCAGATTTCTTTTTCATAATTCGACGCGTAAGTCGAAGTGTACCCAGTGTATTAATACTGGGTACAAGAAAATAATGTATTTTTTCTCGCTGATATTACTCGATTGAATCGTTTCATGGATATGCGATTTAATTTATAATAAGACTAGCTTCGCGAAGTTCCTCGATGATCGATAGCATCTCGTTGTCGTGAGTGTTGTTGCCTGCTCGGTGCGAAGCGTTGAGCAATCGTAGACGATTCACCAACTCGTTGGGATCATCCCAGTACGTAATCGATCGTTCAATGTCATTGCATGAGATAATCACATTCCAGATTTCTTCTTCTGTTTCTTGGGTGTGATCGACATCAACGGTGCGATTACGTGTTTGTACTTATATCTTCTGTTGCTCAATAATCGACCCTGCGAATGGTACTTGTGTTCGTCATCAACAGCATGCTCTTATGCATATCGTCTTCCGTGAAGAGGGCATCGTCGGGAATTCTCTTGAAAATCAACTCGTAAAGACCAAGTGTATCGGCGTATCGTACGCCATCGATAATTATGTTGTCCGCGTCTTCCACGTCGAAATGATTATTGCCAAAAACATCAGCCCATCCTTGTGTAGGTAAACACCGTGATCTATACCGCTCTCTTTGTCTTGCACCCCCCTTAGGACAGCCTCGACGTACTTTTGACCCAGCAGGCCTAAGCCTTTCGATCTTCCAACGTTTGCAGCTGATTTTGAACCTTCATCGCTAGCGAGTCTTCCGTCGTTTCGAAAACGTTCTCCAATGACTCTATCGTCGGTACGATTTTGGCACACAATGTGGAGGTTGTCGGCTGTGCACGATCGTGCGATCGATCATTGGATTTATGCAGAGTGGAACGCTCGAACGTTTCGTTCGCTTCTTCTCTCTCTTCCTCCTTCTCTTGTTCTTCTTTCTCCTTCCTCTCACGTTTAGAGGCAGACGCTATTTTTATCGCGCGCACGCCGAGGCTGTCGAAAAGTCGCAGTGGCTCGATAAGAGGTTTAAAATGTTTATCCAACGCGATGCCCTCTTCGATTCTACCGGTCTTCAAAGCGCGAAGTTTCTTGATCGACTCGCTCGTCTTCTCGATCTCCCTCGCGATATTTTCACGCTTGCGCACATCTGCCATGTTCGTCTCTGGCTAAGTATCGGCAACGACTGGTCACATTACGGTATCGCGAACTCGTTAAATTCTTTTTTATCGTCCGTTTGTGAGCCCACTGTCTTTGTCTATCACTAAAAATCTATATTTTTGCTGCCAACAGTCGCGGCACAACGTGCAAAATTCGTCATTTAACATATCGGTATTCACATGATCGTTGTAAACGTGTTTCAAGTTGGTACTGTCCTGTTTGAACAGGATCAGCAGGTTCGCGTTGTCGCGTATCAGATGTTTAGGTATCCTCGCGTATGTCTGACAGAGATAGAAGTAGTCAACGTTCGCATGGCGACTCATCGAAAAGTATTCTCTCACCGCATACTGCTTGTCGCATGCCACGTCATTAAAGATAAAAATAGAATTTGGACGCGTCTCGCTCGCTTGGTGGAACGACGTCGCTGTTGTTGGAGTAAAGTAGCCGATTTCATCGATAGACATAAACAAATCTTCGAGATATCGATACTTTGGCTATTGCAACATTTCGAGTAGATGTACACATTTTCGAAACATACGCCAGGCTCTCGAGTAAGTTTTTAAGAATGTTGGTTTTACTACAATTCGACGAACCGCAAATGATCGCGCGTGTAGTACTCGGCAGCATTTCGCCGTGCTTTCTCTTCTCCACGCTACCTCCCATCATTCGCGATTTCGCGTCGCAGTTCGTGACGCGTATCGACAGCGGTTGTAGCATGAATTTCATGCTCACACTAAAGGCTACGCGCTCTCGAACGACTATTTAAAAGTACGCGAGTTTACAAAATATATCTCTCGCTGTGTCATCCTTTCGAACTTCAGGACTTGAACCCCGAGCAGCTGCAGTATACCGAAGATCATACTTTTACGCGTGTACGATGATTATATCGACTACGTGTGGGACAAGCTTCCCGAACACATGAAGGCGGGTTCGAACGTATCGTCGCTGCGACGAGCATTATAATCAGCCGTGGCAGGAGACGCACATCGACGGTACCGCACTTAAGATAAAGGACTGTAGCAAATGTCAGCGTCGGGCGGCAGTCTGTTGAATCGAGCGATAAACGCGCTTCCTTTTCAGTTACATATTCCGGGCTATCAGTTTTGCGACCCGGGCACTCGGCTTACGAAACAATTAGCCAGAGAGGTGACGCGGGCATAAATCCGCTGGACGCGGCGTGCCGAGAACACGACATCGCGTATCCTCGGAGCAACGATCTCACCGATAGACACGCGGCAGACAAGATATTCGCCGAGAAGACGCGGAAACGTGTCACCGCGAGAGATTCGGTTCTGAGCCAGAGAGCCGCTGCTGCAGTTTGGACAGTGATGAAAACCAAAACCAAGATCGGCATAGACATGAAATCGAAGAAGATGATAACGAGGAAAAAGACAATGAAAAAGCGGATACTTCCAACGGCAAAACGAGATGATGCGTTACTATTTCTGCCAATGTTGGGCGCACTCGGGTCCTTAATTGGCGGAGCGGCCAACGTGGTAAAAGCGGTAAACGATATCAAAGTCGTGCGATGTCAGCTCGAGGAGCTGCAATGTCACGACTGTGCGATGGAACAGGGCCACAGCTTGTATCTCGCTCCGCATAAATATGGACGCGGACTGTATCTCAGCCCTTATAAACGCGGACAGGTTATAGCAGCGAAGAAAAAAAATCGTCAAAAAAACGATAAAAATGCTTTCGGGTGCAACTACCAATGTGCAATTGCTCGCGAGACGTATGTGCGTACCATACTTTAGAGGTTTTGTTTTCATGCGTAACGCTTTACCGACGAACGGGGCGCCCCGAAACGAAAGCGGTATCATGAATCTGAACGATGCGACCGGGCCTGGAACTCACTGGGTAGCGTACGCGAAGAGGAACAATCGCGTCGTATACTTTGACAGTTTCGACCGTCCAACGAACTGGTGCGATATTTCGGGAACGGTGCTACGGCGATAGAGTACAATCGTACGTCCTACCAGACGTATGATCAGAGCTTCTGCGGACAGATGTGTCTGCGGTTTTTACAAACGGTAGACGTGCGTGAATTTAAAAAGCTCGACGAGGTGCTGTAAAATCTCAGTATTAGTCGAACGCTTTTTCCGTCATGTCGCTGACACTTACGTTGAGCGAGAAGAGCACTGTCCTCTCGGCGAACTACTTTTCCTCCATAGATTTGAGTGATGGCGATTACGAGCTCGATCTGGCGATTTTTGAGACTTATCACACAATAACAAATGTAACGAATCGAACAATAAATTTTATTTTGGCAAAGACGACGCAGAAATTACAATTCTCGAAGGTTCGTGCGAGACATAAATGAATTTTCGAAACGTACAATTTTACGGAAACATTCGCACCGTGATGCACTTGAAACCGTTGACGTAGTGTGTGGTGACAATAACAACAACAGCAACAACAACACAATGACACTGATGACAATAATGGTGAGGGTGGAGAATATCCGATTATGCTCCGCGCAAACTACAATATGATGAAATGAGAGATTAGATGTGCATACAGAATAAATTTTGACAAGCCCAACAGCATTGGATTGCTACTGATTCTCGTCGAAGCGTATACTGCGACCGCGAAGATGGCACGAATCGAACATGTCGATCAACATAATGAACGTAAATGTTATCCGCGTAGAGTGTGTAACGTGACCGCGGACACGTACAGCAATGGCAAAAGCACGCACACGATACACGAATTTTCGCCGAGCGTGCCATCAGGATATAAGATATCGGAGAGGCCGGCGCAGATCATTTACCTGCCGATCACGGCATTACGGATCTAACGATACGCGTCGTCGACCAGAATGGACGATTGCTCGATTTTCGCGGAGAGGAGATCACCGCACGAGATCAGATTGCACGTGCGATAGCGACAGCAAGCGTGAGATGCTTGTATTGAACGGAGCGGAGCGCACGCAGAGAGATAACGCATTCTTTACAAGACTGGTAACTTCACCACTCGATAACGCTCGCTCATCCAACTGCATCAGCAAGAAGAAGCTCAGCGCGTCGAACGTTAAATTTTTACAATCTTTGGGATTCGCGGTGCGTAACTTTTGAGATGATTGATATCTTGAATATTACCGACCGATCTTTAACGATCGCATCGTCAAGATTGAGACTCACACGTACAACCCGTTCGCTAATACAACATTCGGATACAGCGACGAGATAAAAATACCCATACAGCAACAAGATTTATACACGTTGCCGTGCGAAAGTTTTCTCTACGGGAAGTTTTCTTCAAAGGAAGATTGACGGTGAAAAAGAAAAACGATTAGATGCTAACGATGTTTGTAATGCGTGGCGTTCATGTCTA